GGGCAGTTTTGGGCTGTGGAGACAGGAGGAAAGGGAAGCAGATTTGGCAGGGGAGATGATGTCCCACCAAAATCACCTTTCAATCCTAGGAGTGGGAAATGCTCCTTTTCTCATGCAAGTATCCATGCTCCCAGCACAGACTGCAGACTGGGACAAAAAAGTTAGACCTCAAACTGAGAGCAGTTATGTTCTGAGCTACTCGTTCTTTAAAGCTTTTCTGTTCATGTGGGAGGGTCATGTGTATCATTTCTGTCAGATTCATACATTTTCCTACACTGAGATGACAAAAAATGGGACCTTGACCATCAGAGACTTCTGCTTCAGGGAAATCTTCTCCATTACTCCATTCCCCGTTCTAACACCTCTTTCTTTTTTCCTGTCCAGCTCATAGATAAGAATGTAAATCTTAAAGAGATGAAAAGAGAATCAGACCTCATTGATCAGCATCGTTTCACCTTAGAAGAAATCGAAGAGAGCCAGGCTGTCCTTGAGGACTACGAAGGACAGAAGGATTTGGACTTTGGCCATTTGAATCCCAGTGACCACATGGAGAATCAAGATAGCAAGATGGCTACCTTCACCCTGACCAACGTAGTGCCCCAGGACAGCAGTCTCAACAAGGGCCAGTGGAACGTCTACCTGTCTAAAACAATGCCCCAACATACCAAGGACTGTACAACCACCTATGTGATCACGGGTGCTGTGCCTGGGAACATTCACATTGCCAAAGGGAGGGTGAACAAGCCCAGCCACATCTGGTCAGCTGCCTGCTGCATGGTGGGCACAGAGCCCACAAGTGCTTGGGGGGCCATTGCTGAAAATGACAAGAATGAGGTGGAGACAATCACGCTGGGGCAGCTGGAGGACAAGTTGTCCAATCTCTATGGTGGAAAGGTTACTCTGTTTGACAAAGCATGTCCCAGGGAATAAGCCTCACATCTTAAATGGAAAGGGTAAGGTGGCTGTTCCCACATGTCACAGAATCACAGAAAGGGTTGGTTTGGATGGGACCGAAAAGCCTTAAAGATCATCTCACTCTGACCTGCCTTCCATGGGCAAGGACACCTTCCACTACACCAGCTTGTTCCAAGCCCTCCCCAGCCTGGCCTTGAGCCCTTCCAGGGATTGGGCAGTCAAAACAGCTCTGGGTAACTTTTACTCATACCACAGCCTGCTCACTCTAACTTACTGCTTTATAATATCCCATCTAACCCTGCCCTCCATCGGTGTGAAACCATTCCCTCCTGTCCTCTCACTCCATTCCAAAGACCCTCTCCAGCCCTCTTGGAGACCCTTGAGGCACTGCACTCTCAGCAGTCTCCTCCAGGCTGAACATCCCCAGCTCTCTCCCTCACTCCAGAGCAGACACACTCCAGCCCTTGCAGCATCTTCATGGCCTCCACTGGACTCCACTCCAACAGCTTTGCATCCTTCTTGTGCTGTGGGCCCCAGAGCTGGAGGCAGCACTGCAGGTGGGGTCTGAGCAGAGCAGAGCAGAGGGGGACAAATGTCCTGGTCAGAGTCTGTGCTGCTTCCTTCTCTGCTGTGTTTCCAGCTCTGTCCCTCAGGGCACCTCCTGCTCTGCTCAAAGGCACAAAGATGTGGGCAGAGCCTCCAGCTGCTTTGCTTTGCTGCCCATGTGTGGGATTTCTCAGCTGTTCAGATGGTCTGGGGAAAAGCCCAAAGATGGCCTTGGGCCCCCGGGTTCGAAAGGACGAGAGGAAGCTTCAGATTTGTTCTCGGTCTCGGTGTTTATTAATTGCTTATCTAAAAGATTTTCTCTTGGCCTGACAGAGTTCTGCTCAGCAGTCAGCCATGGGCACACACTGAAAGCCCCTGGGGCGGTCACCTATCTTTATACCCGGAGTTACGTATACAATATTTATCATTTTTCTCCAATACCCTCTACCCTTATTAACCAGTGTTCCCCTAGTAAGGTCCAATCCTGGAGTGCCAACATCACCACAGAAGATGGAGGCCCAGAGGAAGAAGAAGAAGGAGAAGGGCACGCCCCAATCCCTCCATCTTGCCTCTCTAGACCCCCCTGTACAGGGATCTTAAACCCTGTATCTCACACTCCAATTAACTTGTCCCTTCACCATTCACCCCAGTGAAATCCTCCCGTCCTCATACTGATGTCATCTCCCATGTGGGATCAAAGTCCAGCCACCAGACATCTCTGGCAGCATTCCAGGACTCCCGAGCCCCCCAGGGGGGGTCTTGCTCACCCTGCACCCCAGTTCTGAGAGACTGAGATCCCACACCCATGTCAGGAGAGAGCTCTGAGGAACGAGTCCTCTCCTCCTCAGCTGTCCCCAAGAGTGTGCAGCTGACTTGTCCCTCCCCTCCTTAGCCAGGCTGTGGCACCAGGGCGCCTCAGGGTGTCCAGAGATCCTGTCTGGAGATCTCCATGTCTGGAGATGCACAAAGCCCAACAATACATGATTGTGGACATCCTGCTCTAGCTGATCCTGCTGCAGCCTGGAGTGTGGACTAGAAGATCCTGAGAAGTCCCTCGAAAACACAACAATTCAGTGATTCTGGGATCCTGGCACATGCTTTTGTTTGGTGGCTTTTGAAAGTGCACCTTGGGGGCAGCAGCTGTTGTATCAAACAGGCAGGCTTTGGCATCAGATCCATAGAGAGCCTGGAGCAGCCAAAGCTGAATTCCTGTGTTGCACTCCTTGGACACCTTCATGCTCTGCTCTGCTTCTGAAGCTTTTCTGCAGATTGAGGGGAAACTGATTTGGGGAAATGTATTCAATGCTTGTCAAAGATCAATGTGTGCCCCATCATGGAGTTTGCAAGAGCTTGCAATAAAAGTGATTTGCTGCAGTGCTGGATTGTAGGGTCAAGTCTTCTATAAACTACAATTTGCTTCTCAGTGAAATTTCTACATCCACCAGTAAAGTGACAGTGCCCAGAGCATCCTTGCAGGACATTGGGTGTGCAAATGCAATCAGAGGATGCCACAACACCCACACAAGTGTCAGCATCAGACACCAGTCATTCTCCTGTGAATGGCATGAACCAAGTGGGCCAGGGTGTCAACAGCTCATACAAGATACCTCCATTGATCCAGGAACAAGACTACCAGCTTTGATGTCCCAAACTTTGACGATTCTTTGGGACTTGAGGCCTTTGCATTGAAGAGTTCTGTAGGTTCTGTGAGTTCAGGATTATGTGGGGTTTCCCCACTTTTCCCCTGGGAGGTGTTGTACACATTGGTCATGCAGCACTGTGGAGCTGGGGGACACTTTGGTGGTCTTTGATGGTTTATGGCCCCTTCTAATGATGTGACCACTGTTGGGCCCCATCAGAAAGGAGGAATTTGCCCCACCTCCACCAGATCTGCTTCTTCTTGGCCTTCTCCTTCATTCTGGCTAAACCCCACTTGGTTTAAGACATCAGTCCCAGGTTAACAGAGACAAAAGAAACCACAGGACTCAACCAGCATGCTTAATAAACTTTGGTCTAACACACTTCTGGACACTTATGGTTGTAAGAAAGAACTCGTCACTTTGTTATTCCTGGACTTTTGGAAACAGAAGAAAATTTGTCCAATTTAGTTTGAGTGAATGAATGGTCATAGAATGACAGAATATTTGGGGTTGGAAAGGAACTTGAAGACCAGCCTCCCGGAAGGCAGGGACACCTTCCAGTATCCCAGGTTCCTCCAAGCCCCAGCCAGCCTGGCCATGGACACTTGCAGGCATGGGGCAGTCTCAGCTTCTGTGGGCAACCTGTGCTGGGGCCTCACCACCCAACAGTAACAAATATCTTCTTAATATCCTTTCTAAACCTACGCTCCTTCCATTTCAAGCCCTTTCAGCTTGTCCCAATAATGTGTTTTTGCCCCAGCCAGCAGCCACACCCCACGCAGCCGCTACCTCCCTCCCTGACCACTGGGATGAGGGAGAGAACTGGAAGGGGATAAGCTGGAAAACTCCTGGGTGGAGATAGAGACAGTTTAACAGGGAAAGCAAAAGCCGTACACACAAGCAAAGCACATCAAGGCATTCCTTCATCATTTCCCATGGATAGAAAGGTGTTCAGCCATCTCCAGGAGGGCTGGGAACTGTTCCACCTGCCAGCTACCTAGGAAGACAAAACCCATCACTCCAATCTCCCCCTCCTTCCTCCTCCTTCCCCTCACTTTGTATCCTCAGCATGATGTCACATGCTCTGGACTATCCTCTGGTCAGTTGGGCTCACCTGTCCTGGTTGTGTCTCCTCCCAACCTCCCAGGTACCCCCAGCCTCCTTGCCAGCCTGGCAGTACAAGAAGCACAAAAGGCCTTGGCCTGTGAAAGCTCTGCCCAGAAATACCAGAAACATCTCTGTGTTATCAACTCTGTGTTCAGCAGAAATCCAAAACACAGCCCCACACCTGCCACTGTCAAGAAAACTAACTCTGAACCCAACACACCTGTCAGCCCCATGCCCTTGTGCAGAGTCTGTCTCCAGCTCTCCTGTAGACTCCTCAAGTACTGGCAGGTGCTCCAAGGTATCCCCAGAGCCTTCTGCTTCCCAGGCCGCTGGGATGGAGCTGTCACACAGCCATGGCAACCAGGCAAGAGAATATTTGTAGCCTGGCCATGGCAATGATGTTCAGGGAGGCTGTAGAAGGACAGACTGTGAATATCTGAGTGTATCAGAGTCAGGCCAGTCCATCCAGTGTCAGCAGAGCTGTTCTGTTGGGAGCAGAAACACGTGTAGGTGCTGGAGCAGCAGCAGCTGCAGCTGGTGGGATTGATGAAAGGATCAAGGAGCCCACCAGACCCTGTTAGCTGACCCTGACATGCCGTGCTGCAAGGCAGCAAATTTGGGAGAAATTCTGGGGAACTATAACAAACAACAGTCAGCACATTTCAGGGTGGGTTTCATCATGCCCCTGAATAAAAACAGGTAACTTCTCTATTCTATAGAATTCCTTGTTTATAACAAGGGGCAAATTTTGGCTGCACGTGATATTTATAGATTGCAGGTGCACTCCTGAGGATTCAAACACTCCTTTCTCGTGGGAGAAGACAGAAGGAACAGTTCAGCTGCCTGTTCTGAGACTCTGCACCAAGGTAAGTTCTTTCTCCCTCCTCACCATTGATTCCAATATTCTAAGTCTTTCCTGACTTTCTGAAATAAATATTTATATGGACAAAGCCCAGGCTGCTGAGCTCCAAGGAGCAATCAGAGCTTATGAATGCATTGAATTTTGCAGCATTTTGGTATTTTCTGTCAGTCAGGAGGGTATGGAGGGAGGGAGTGATTTGGGAAAGAAAATCAAGCACGGTCACCTGAAAATTATCATCAAATTGTTTAATAAGAAGGAAGGGGGAGATTATTGACTACTAAATCTTCACCTATGACCTTCCAAAAAACCTCTAGACAAACAGAGAAGGGGTCTGAATACCTGAGAAAATTTATTCTAAAGGCTTCTTGGGAAATCCAACTACTACCTCTTCCTGGAAAGCATATAAATCCAGAAAGTCTGAGACTGCAGCAGAGGCATTTGAGACTCCTCTGCCACTTTGGGGCTGCGAGCAGAATCCTGTGCCACTCCTTCTCACGGTACTTTCTTTTGTATGAATCTGTTAAAGTAGATATTAAGTTAGAGATATTTCAATCTCATGGAGTGGATCATGCAGAAGGACTTCTCAGACCCTTCTCTGCTTGATTTGGGGCGGCTTTGGGCATGCTCTGCCGAGTACTGTAAAAATTCCGACTTGTAGTTGCAGTTCTCAGTTTCCAGCTCATTGGTCACCACATTCCTGATGCAGGGCTGAACAAGAGGAAAAGGGCCAGATATCTTGGGTCAGAGCAGGGCTGTGTGCAGCTCAGCATCCTGAATCCAGTGGAAATGGAGAGATGAGGGTCAGGGAGAAGAACAAGACAAGGGCAAATGTGCAAGGTGACTTGTCAAGCCTTCAGCAGTGCTGAGCTCAGCCCCTGGCCAGCCCAAGGTGGGCTTTGTGCTTTAGAGGCTGTGGCAGCTTTGTGTGCCAGGAACCCTTTGAACTGCCTGTCCCAGCTGCCTTATCCCAAATGCTGATGATATTAAATCTGTCCAATGAGTGTCTGGCAATGCAAATGGAAGCATCCCTGCTCTCCCAAACCTGTGCTGCCTCTGAAAAGAGACAAAGCTCCTCGTGTGGTTGCCATCATCCCAGGGAGCTTTTCAGCAGTGTTCTCATAAAGGAATGATCTTACTGCCTGCTGAAAATCACATCAGCACTGAGAAAGACAAAACAGGACAGGTGGCTGTCCAAGAAATTCCTGCAATGGTGCCTTTGACTGTCCAGGGAAATCAATCAGCAAAGCTGAAGATGGGCATCAGCAGGAATCCCAAGCAACCAGGGCAAGAGCTGCCCCTCAGGGCTTGCCTTGCAGCAGCCACTGTGCTGATAAGATAGAGGTGTTATCCCTCATGCTTGCTGCTGCCATCTGCTTGGCCCCTTCATTTGCTCCATCCATGTGTCTGCAAGTTCAGAGTCTGGGGTTGGATAACGTGGAAATGCAAGGTGAGCAGCAGGACACGCATGGCCCCATGTCAGCTGAGAGGCAGGAGCCCAGGTGGATGATTTGGGGTTCAGTATTGGGTCTGACTGGAAGAGCTGAGTGTCTGTGTGAACCTGGATGGGGCCAGAGAGCTGTAGGCAGTGCAGCATTGCTGTTCTTGGCCTGCCCAATGGCCCATGAGATTAAAGCCCAGCTGAGCATGGCAGGGGGCTGAGCAGAGTCCGTGCCCAGCTGCAGGTGTGTGCTGTGGGAAGGTGCTGAGAGCAGGAGGGAGGTGGGCAAAGGTGACCTTGTCCCAGGGCTGTGCCTCAGTTGCAAGATCCCTTTGCTGTGAGAGCTGATTGCAGTCCTGGTGGGTTTGGCTCCTTCCTCCTACAGGCTGAGTGCTCCCACTGCTGCCTCTTCTGGGCAGCTAAACCCTGTTTTTGGTTTCACACTTATTGCCCTTGTGATTTTTTCATATCCAGGATGACAAAAAATGACTCCTTTCCTGGTCTCTCACAATTCCCTGCTCTGCCAGCTCTGTCCCTCTGCACAAAAAGGCTCCAGGCCATGACCTGCTCTCTCCAAGCTGAGTGTCCCTCTGCATTTGCCTTCCAGGGGAGCAAGAGCCCTTCACTGAAATCCTGCCACCATGCTGGGGCTGCTGCTGCTGCTGCAGGTGTTGGCCAGCTGCCTCTGGCTGGGACACAGCGAGGTGGTGAACTCCTTTGATAGCTGTCCTCAGTTTTTCTATGATGGGATTCCCCCAGATGGTGCCCTGAATCCAAAGAACCCAGCCCGGATCTGTCAGCGCTTCAGGAACTCGTATCACTATGCCACCCTGTACGACAGAGACAGGAGAATTCCAGTGTACTCTGCTTACAAATACCAGCCTGTAGAAGAGAAGAGACCTCGAGGATGGTGGTTTCTTGAGCCTCAGGTGAGTGTCTCTCACACAGCACATCACATGACCCTCCGGCCATTCAGAGTTGAGCTGCAGCGTTTAAATTACCACTTCTATTTCCTAACACCCCAATACACACACGCAAATGGACACACAGATGGGAATGTCCTCATTGAACATCAAACACCTGCACCACATGGTTCCTCTGATGCATCTGAGACATCAGCAGGAGCATGAGATGAATCACATCCCAAAGGTGCCCAGCTCTCTACCTTCACCTGACAGGAACAGCCAATCACATTACTTGGCATGACATGACAAAGTCAAATGCTTCCCCTCCCTGTGCCCTGCTCTGCTGGCTGACCAAGTGATGGGGAAAAGGCATCCAGGAGAGGCAAAACTTGAGGGACCAACAGTCCTGCTGGGATCTGAGCCCCACTTTGCCCTGAGCTGTTCTGCATCCCTAGCAGAGCTTCTCTGCTCCCAGTGAAGAGTCAAACAGGCTTTGATTGGTGTTAGGGAAGTGAAGAGAAACACAGAATGGGATAAGATTGTCCAGGGACAAATCCTTGAGGGAAAAGGCACCGGAGATGAGAGGGTCAGGTTAACTGTGCAGGGATACCTGGACAGTTTCATGCAGTGCAAAGTGAGGAGCGTCAGTGTTGGTCCAGTCACAAGGGTGTGATCTTCACCCATGGGCAGTGACCCCTGAGCACCTTTGGCTCAGGCTTGGTCCAGAAGGATTCAGCAGACAGACAGAACTCCACAAGCTCTAGAGGCCTCAGATAAACTTCAGCAGAACAGGCCAGGCCAATTGCAGAAGAGAAAAAGAAGCAATTCCTGTCACTGGTAAGGACAGAGCAGCAGGACAGCATTTGGGGGAAGGTGAGCCAGAGAAGGAAGCCACAGGCCCTACTCCAAAGGAAGGCTAAATATGTTTCTCTAAAGGTGAACCAAATGATGTTAAAGTTATGAAAAAAAATCATCTTTTCATATTATGCATAGGAACTCAAGCACCTAATCTGGTTTTGCACCACTGCAGCCTCCACATTCTCTCTTTCTGGTAAATCATAGAATGGTTTATGTTGAAAAAACCTTAAAGACCATCTCAGTCCAATTGCCTTGCATGGACCAGGCCACTTGCCATTACACCAGAATGCTTCAATGCCTATCTAACCTGGCGTTTTCCTCCTAGACCTTGGACCCTGGCCTTCCCAAAAACCTTTGATTTTGTTGATTTTCTCCTGAGTCCTTTTTGGAGTATTTAGGTCTCTTTAAAAAAAAGCATACTTTTGGGATGACAGGCTCCTCTCAGAGGCCGATCATTTGTAACTTTGCAGTGATGCTGCAGAAAATTCTCCCTGGCCCAGATCAGCTCTGGGACACATTCTCAGCACTGCTGTAACAGATTCCATTCACTTTGGGATCTTTTTGCTTATGGAGCAAAACTGTTCATCCTCGAATGAACTGCAGCCCTCTCAGGGAAACCTCAGCTCCAGGACTGATTTCCTGACACATCTCCCTGTGTATGGGGTTACAGGAGGCAACCTCTGGTGTTCCAGGACTGGGGTACACTTGTAGCAACAACACATAAAATCACAGAATCACAGAATCACAGAATGACAGTGTGGTGTGAGGGAATCCAGGGAGAGCCCTGGGCAGATTTGGGCTGTGGAGACAGGAGGAAAGGGAAGCAGATTTGGCAGGGGAGATGAAGTCCCACCAAAATCACCTTTCAATCCTAGGAGTGGGAAATGCTCCTTGTCTCATGCAAGTATCCATGCTCCCAGCACAGGCTGCAGGCTGGATCACAAAGGTCACAAGTCAAACTGAGAGCAGTCAGATTCTGAGCTGCTTGCCCTTTTAAGCTTTTGTGTTCATGTGGGTTGGTCATGTCTATGATTTCTCTCAGATTCATTCATTTTCATACACTGAGATGACAAAAAATGGGATCTTGACCCTGTGAGATTTCTGCTCCAGGGAAATCTTCTCCATTACTCCCATTCCCAATTCTAACATCTCTTTCTTTTTCCCTGTACAGCTCATAGATAATTGCAATCTTAAAGAGATGAAAAAAGAGTCAGACATCAAGAAAGAATGCAAAATCTCCCAAGAAGTTATCAAAAGGAGCCAGGCTGTAGATGATGACTACAAAGGGCTGAAGGATTTGGACCGTGGCCATTTGAGCCCCAGTGGCCATATGGATAAGGATGTGAGTAAAATGGCTACCTTCACCCTTACCAACATAGTGCCCCAGGACAGCACTCTCAACAACGGACAGTGGAGGGTCTATGAGGATAAAACAATGAAGAAAAACACCAAGGACTGTAAAACCACCTACGTGATCACGGGTGCTGTGCATGGGAACACCTACATATCCCATGAGAGGGTGAACAGACCCAGCCACATTTGGTCAGCTGCCTGCTGTATGTTGGACAAAAAGCCCCCAAAGGCTTGGGGGGCCATTGCTGAGAATGACAAGAACCAGGTGGAGGAGCTCAGCCTGGGAGAGCTGGAGGACAGGTTGACTGAGCTCTATGGTGGAAGGGTTACTCTGTTCAACAATGCCTGTCCCCGAGAATAAGCCTCACAGCCTCATTAGAATAGCCTCGGTGGCTTTTCACACACATCATAGAATCACAGAATCACAGAGTAGGTTGATTTTGATGGGACCTGAAAGCCTTAAAGATCATCTCATTCTAACCTGCCTTCCATGGGCAGGGACACCTTCCACTACACCAGCTTGTCCCAAGCCCTCCCCAGCCTGGCCTTGAACCCTTCCAGACATGGGGCAGTCAAAACAGCTCTGGGTAACTTTTACTCGTACCACAGCCTGCTCACTGTAATTCACTGCTTTATAATATCCCATCTAACCCTGCCCTCCATCAGTGTGAAACCATTCCCTCCTGTCCTCTTACTCCATACCCTTGTCCAAAGACCCTCTCCAGCCCTCTTGGAGATCCCTGAGGTACTGGACCCTCAGCAGTCTCCTCCAGGCTGAACATCCCCAGCTCTCTCACCCTCTCCGCAGAGCAGACACACCCCAGCCCTTGGAGCACCTTCATGGCCTGCACTGGACTCCACTCCAACAGCTTTCCATCCTTCTTGTGCTGTGGGCCCACAGCTGGAGGCAGCACTGCAGGTGGGGTCTGAGCAGAGCAGAGCAGAGGGGCACCAATGTCCTGGTCAGAGTCTGTGCTGCTTCCTTCTCTGCTGTGTTTCCAGCTCTGTCCCTCAGGGCACCTCCTGCTCTGCTCAAAGGCACAAAGATGTGGGCAGAGCCTCCAGCTGCTTTGCTTTGCTGCCCGTGTCAGGAGAGAGCTCTGAGGAACGAGTCCTCTCCTCCTCAGCTGTCCCCAAGAATGTGCAGCTGACTTGTCCCTCCCCTCCTTAGCCAGGCTGTGGCACCAGGGCGCCTCAGGGTGTCCAGAGATCCTGTCTGGAGATCTCCATGTCTGGAGATACACAAAGCCCAACAATACATGATTCTGGACAACCTGCTCTAGCTGATCCTGCTGCAGCCTGGAGTGTGGACTAGAAGATCCTGAGAAGTCCCTCCAAAACACAACAATTCAGTGATTCTGTCATCCTGGCACATGCTTTTGTTTGGTGGCTTTTGAAAGTGCACCTTGAGAGCAGCAGCTTTTGTATCAAACAGGCAGGCTTTGGCATCAGATCCATAGAGAGCCTGGAGCAGCCAAAGCTGAATTCCTGTGCTGCACTCCTTGGACACCTTCATGCTCTCTTCTGCTTCTGAAGCTTTTCTGCAGATTGATGGGAAACTGATTTGGAGAATTGTATACAATGCTTGTCAAAGATCCATGTGTGCCCCATCATGGAGTTTGCAAGAGCTTACAATAAACGTGATTTGCTGCAGTGCCGGCTTGCAGGGTCATGTCTTCTGTAAACCATAATTTGTTTCTCTCTGATACTTATACATCCACCAGTAAAGTCACATTTCCCAGAGCATCCTTGCAGGACATTGGGTGTGAAATGCAATCAGGGGATGCCACAACACCTACACAAGTGTCAGCATCAGACACCAGTTATTCTCCTGTGAGTGGCATGAACGAAGTGGGCCAGGGTGCCAACAGCTCATGCAAGCTGTGTCACTTTCAGAGGTGCCAGCTTGGCACTGGACATCTCAGCTCAGGAGCTGTTGTTCATTGTCTTGCTGGGTCTCACTGCTCAGCCAGGACCAACCTGTTTGGGGGCTGCACTAAAACACAGGTTCTGGTGGAGGTGCAGAGTGAGGCAGCCCCATGCAGGTGTCTCCAGGTGTGCTGGTGTCCCAGCTGTGACCACAGCCAGCAGAGCTGCAGGCCTGCCTCAGCTGCATAAAGAGCTGCACCCTGGGCCCCTGCAGCTGCCCTGAGCTTTGGAGAGCCCCACTGGGGCTGGCTGATGTGCTGCAGCATCCTGGGCAGCAGGCACCCCCAGCTGGGCCAGCAGCCAGAGGCCAGGCCCATTCCCCAGGGGCAGCTCTGGGGGCTCTGCACACCTGAGCACAGGCACCAGGTGCCAGGGCAGACACGGGGCACGGCCTGGCAGCACCATGCAGTTCTGCTCCTCTTCCTCCAGCTGCCATGGCCACAGCAGCAAGAGCCCTGCCTTCTGCCAGCGGGGCTGCACACACCCCTGGGAGAAGATGTTGCTTTTAGGAGAGCAAAGTGAGCACATCACTCTCACTGCCTTTGCTGGACAGCTCCTGCCCTCCCAGGTCCTCTGCCTGCATGGATTTTTTCTGCTGGGATCAAATGCTGACACAGCCCCTGCTGGGAAGAAAGCATCAGAGTGACTTCAGGCTGAGGCCCCTCTGCAGACACCTCTGCTGTACCTCAGGCTGAGGCTCCCTCTGACTTGCTCACCCACCTCTGCACACTGGCTGGGGCTTGGGACCACACTCATCCTCACCATTCCTCATGCCATGTCTCACTGCCCCCACCTTCCAGGCTCTGGAGCCACTGGCTGCTTGACCAACTGTCGTGGTTTGACACTGGCAAAACACCAGGCACCCACAAAAGCTGCTCACTCAGCCTCCCCTGTTACTGCCACAAAGAGGAGAGGAAAAAAAAAATAAAAAAAGATATATGAGTTGAGATAAGGACTCAGAGTAAAACTCTCAAGGGCAAAACTTGTTCAACTTAGAGATAGAAAATGAGTTTATCACAAACACAATCAGAGGAAGATAATGAGAAGTAAAATAGCCCTTTAAAAACACCTTTTCTTTCCTCAACACTTCCCTCCTTCCCACCAACAGCACAGGCAGACAGAGTGAGCGGGGCTTGGTCAGTTCATCACCCAAGGTTCTCTTCCAATGCTTAGGGAGAGGAGTCCCTCCCCTTCTGCACCGTGGGGTCCCTCCCATGGGAGACAGTTCTCCTTGAACTTCTCCAGTGGGGCTCCACTCTCACTAGCAGCAGTCCAACCAAAACTGCTGCAACAGGAGGCCCTCCCACAGGCACACAGTCCTCCCCAAACTGCCCTGGCCTGGGTCATCCTTCCATTGGGTGAAGTCCTCCCAGGACAGGCTGCTCCAGCAGGGGAGCAGGGGACCCGTCTCTTCACCAGGTCTCCCAGTGGTCCCCAACATCCACCCACTCCAATGTGGGCAGCTCTGAAATGGGCTGTGGGTGGATCTCTGCATCCCCTATGGATCCCCATGGGCCGTGGGTGGATCTCTGCATTCCCCATGGATCCCCATGGGCTGTGGGTGGATCTCTGCATTCCCCATGGATCCCCACGAGCTGTGGGTGGAACTCTGCATTCCCCATTAATCCCCAGGGCATGCAGGGGAACTGCTGCTTCACCACAGTCACACCAAGGCCTACAGAGGAATCTCTGCTCTGGTGCCCGGAGCATCACCTCTCCCTCCTTCTCCACTGACCTTGGTGTCTCCATGTTGTTTCCCTCACATGTTCTCAACGCCTCCTAGTCTAAGGCTGCAATTCAAACTGCACACGCCACTTTGCTTTCATTTTCCACTTAAATATGTTATTGCAGAGGTTTTTACAACATCTCTAACTGTCCCAGCTGTGGGCACCAGCATGTCCATCTTCAGGGCCATCAGGGACTGGATCTGCCAGACAAGGTGGAAGCTTCTAGCAGCTTCTCACAGAAGCCACCTCTGTGGCACTTCTGCTACGAAAATCCAGCCTGTGCAAAACCAACACACCAAGCCCATCAGTTCTAATCAGTGCTGGGTCACTGGGGAGGTGCCAGATGCCTGGAGATTGGCCATTGTGACACCCATCCACAAGAAGGGCTGGGAGGAGAATCTGGGGAATTACAGGCGTGTCCCCCTGAACTTGCATCCGAGAAGGATTTTGGAGCAGATTGTCCTGAGTGTGATCACAGGACACATCCAGGAGAACCAAGGCATCAGTCCCATCCACCAGGGCTTTAGGAAAGGCAGGTCCTGCCTAGGGAACTGGATTTCCTTTGATGACCAGATGACCGGCCCAGCGGATAATGGGGGATGGCTGTGGAAGTGTCTACCTGGACTTCACCAAAGCCTCTGGCACAGTCTGCCACAGCATTCTCCTGGAAAAGCTGTCAGCCCAGGCCTTGGAGAGGTGCTCTCCTGGCTGCCTCAGGAGCTGCCTGCATGTCCAGGCCCAGAGAGCCTTGGTGAGCAGTGCCACATGCAGCTGGCGTCCGGCCACAAGCGCTGTCCCCAGGGACCAGGGTGGGGCCCGGTACCATTGAAGATCTTTCCTGATGATCTGGATGAGGGGATGCAGGGAACACTCAGCAAGATCACAGATGGTGCCAACTCTGGAGGGAGACTCAGCTGCTGGAGGGCAGGAAGGCTCTGCAGAGGGATCTGCACAGGCTGGATCCACGGGCCGAGGCCACCTCTGCAGGCCGTGCAGAGCAAGGCCATGGAGCTGCTGAAGGCCCTGCAGGGAAAGGCCTGAGAGGAGCAGCTGAGGCAGCTGGGGTTCTTTAGCCCAGACATGGGGGCTCTGAGAGATCATTTCTCTCTCCAGCTCCCTGAAAAGGGGCTGTAGCCAGCTGGGGATCAGCATTTTCTGCTGGACTACCAGCGAGACGATGAGAGGGCAAGGCCTTGACCTGCACCAGAAGGGATTCTGGTGGCACATCAGGAGGAATTTCTTCACATAAAGAGTGATTCAACATTGGAATGGACTGTCTGAAGATGTGGTGAAATCCCAATCTCTGCGGACTGGATGTGGCACTCAGTGCCATGGGCCATTTGAGCAGTGTGTGATTGGTCCAAGGTTGGACTCCACGATGCCAGAGGCCTTTTCCAACAGAAATAATTCTGTGCTTCTCCCAGGAAGCCAGCTTGGAGCTGAGCACAGGGCTGCCCCAGCTCCACAAGCATGCTGCCAGGCACCTTTCAGCTGGCATTGCCTCTGCTTTCTGCTGAGCCTGCTGTGAATGGGCAATAGGGATGGAGCCCTTTGCTGAGCCCAGAGCTGCTCCATGCCCACGGTGGGGTGGGAAGCACCTGAGTTCCCTGGGAAGGTGCAGCTGCACTGCCATGGCAGGGTAATTTTGCTGTTTGCTCTATGTCTGTCCATCTGTGGGGAGAGCTGTGGGCTCCAGTGGGTCACA